CCAAACGTAAAGAAACCATGGCTGCTCTGTATGATGAAAGGAGTAGCAGAGCATCTTGTATGCATGTAGTAGGTGCTTACTCAGTATCTGAACTGGAAATAGAGAAAATAAGCTGAAAGAGAGAAAAAGGGTAGCAAATAAAGTCAAATGCAATAGTTTCATCAGTTCGTATTTGATTAAAAAATTGTGAATAATGTCTAGGCTGGGCTGAAGTTGAGCTTTGTACTATTTATGAAGAAAGGGTTTGATAAGCAAATTGTAATGTAAGCAAGACTGCAGGCTCCTTCATTCTGGTGAAGCAAGCACACATAAGGACTTTTAAATGTCCTATAAAATTGGATGCTGATAATTTTAAGGGTTAACTTCAATAAAAGGATTTCTACCCAAGACTTTTTTTTTTTCTTTTTTGCTTTTTGGTGAGGCAATTGGGATTAAGTGACTTGCCCAGGGTCACAAATGCAGAGATGAAATGAGGAAACTCCTGAGCCCACAGGGGATCTGACTTGGTAGGAGGTGTTAGAACTAGGAGTTCCTTGGGCTCCAGGAGCTTTTAACCAGTCTGCCAAGGAACATAGACTATGCAAAGGGGAATAAGGTGAAACAGGACAGCTCTTGTAGGTTGGAGCCATATTGGAGGGCCCCAGTTTGTGTTTCCTTTTAGGAAGTAGGGAGCCACTGAACATGTTGGAGCATGGGAGTTATGTGCTTTAGGAAGTTGTTTTTGGCAGCTGTATGGGGTGATGGAAAAGAGTATTGAAATTGGAATCAGGAGACCTGGTACAAATTCTGCCTCTTCTGCTCATTCTCTCTTGGTCTCAATTTCCTCGTGGGTAAAGTGATTGGTCTAAAGCCTCCTCCAGCTCTCAGGTTTATGATCCATTGAAGGATGAATCTGAGGAGGAAGAAATTGATGAGGGAGCCATGGTGTGGTAGCAGGTACTGAATTTGGAATCAGAGGACCCATGTTCAAATCCTAGTTTTAATACTCCTACCAAGCCAGATCCCCTGTTGGTGCACGTATTTCCTCATCTGTGACTTGAGGAACTAGATTACCTTGTAAAGATCCCTTTTAGCTTTAGATTTCATGATCCAAGGAGGTCATATTAGAGGTCATCTGGTCCAACCCTTTCATTTTGCAGAGTCTTAGGTCAAAGGCGCTTCGAATAGTTCAGAAGGTGGTTGTCAGTGGAGAGGAAGGGACCAGCGTAAAAAAAATGTGCGAGGAAAATCTATGGGATTAGGCGACCAATTTGATTCTTTGTTCTCCCTCAACCCCGCATCGGAAGGTTTCTGAGGTTTCAAGTCTGGAAGGTGAGGCAAGCTTAGCTGGGAACAATTTTGAGTTCAGTTTTGGCGGTTGGAAAGGAGGACTGACTGACATCCAGGAGGGATAGTGAGACTCAGATTTTGGAGTTATCTGCCCAGGGGAAGTTATTGGGCCTGTGGGAGAGAATGAGGTCACCAAGGGGCAGTGCAGAGAAGGAAGAAGTTAAACAGCCTTGGGGGATAGGACCACCCACATTTAGGATTTGGAAGGATAATAAACCATCAGAAGATCCCGAGAAGGAGCTGTCAGACAGGTAGGAGAATCAAGAGAGCTAGACAGATTTCCTTTGTAAGTCCCAAAATATAATTGAAATTGGGTCATTTTAAACACTTGCAGTTATGTCCTGCTGTACTCATGCAAGTGTTTTCTGTCCTGATATCTTAGAATAGATAGTAAACGTGAGTCTGGAAGTTAGAAATAGGTTCTCATAGCCACCTTAACTTCCTTCTTTCTCCTGTGCATGCATGTGACTTTTAAAGCCTTGAAGTACCATATTGCAGAAGGATAAAAACACATCCACAGAGCTAGCTGCCAAGTTCTGGTTGCTGTGGGAACCAAAGCTGTGAATTGCTTAACTCCTACACTTAATTTCTGGAGAAAAGTGCTAATGAGCATGTAATCAGTGGTATTTCAAGGATCTCTAAGTATTTAATCCAAAGCTGCTCTCCTACCCTGAGCTTTGTAGTCAAGGATGTCTGGTGAGGACAGTCAATAAACTGCTGTTCCTGATAGAAGGCATAGCTCAAGGACTTCTGCCAGCGTGTTACTCAGACTAATTTCTCTGTCTGTCTAAGGTAGCTGACCATCGTAGGACAGGCCTAGTTGCTAGAAACACAGTTAAGTAATTATGTGTGTTAGCAATCAAATCCTGGCTGGGCCACATGCTAGCTTTGTTATTTTATGCCTCTTAAACCACTGAGCCTCATTTTCTTCCTATGTAAAATTAGACCTTCTGGCACTAACAATCAGTCCTTCTGGGGGAAAGGATCCTAACTAATGGCCATCCCCAGTGTAGAGGCAGTCAGGGATTCAGTAGGCCACACAAGGTGGGGCCATCTCCATTGGTCCCAATCTGTATCTGGCCACTGGACCCAGATGGCTCTGAAGAGAAAGTGAGGCTGGTGACTTTGCACAGCCCTCCTCATTTCAGTCTAATTCACTTGCAAGTCATGGCATCACCTTTGTGGTGTCATGGTCCTCTTCTCAGGATAAACAGCAAGAGGCCACACAGGGTCTCCTGATCATGTCTGAATATTGTGCCTAAGAAGACTGCCCAGCTTGGGCAGAGAGACGTCGAATGAGCAGCAAATGAAGAAACCAGGGAGGACAGGAAGGGGGCAGCTAGGCCAGATGGCTTTCTCGCAATCCTTTCCAGCTCCATTTTTCTGCTTCAGAAGTGAAAAATCCATGATATTCCTAAGCAAGTCATTTAATTTCTTTAACTTTACAAATGGAACTTTTCTTTGAGGTTTCCTTAACCCGGAAACTTGAGACTGGCTCTGATAGAATGGGACGAAAAAGAAACGGTACCCAAGAGGAAGTGGGCAGAATCCCAACCTCTGTCCAAGCTGAGAGTTGTTTACACTTTCGGACTGAAATGGTCTGAGTCTAGAGGAGTGCCAGTTCTGGGGATGCAGTTTTAGAAGAATGGTTAGTCCTCCTTCCTGTGAGACTCTTGGTGTTCTGCAAGTTAGCGTAAATGTTACAGCACTGTGCGTAACATTGCGTTTGCTCATTCACACATAGTGACATTGGCCTGCCACACTGGAGCAGCATGAGTGTTCACGCTTCTTTCTTGGCTCTGTTTTTCCCCAGAGTTCTTCAAAACTGGATTAAGTATCTCAGAACAACATTGACATACATTCTCTCAGTATACAACCTATCTTCTCGTTACGGAACCTCAAAGACCAAGTCATTGATAGGAGAGTTCTGTAATGATGTTTAGTCTTGTGATCATCTTGGTGCCTCTTAACCAACAACACTTTCCTAGCTCATGATACAGTGGATAGAACCCTGGGACTTGGGTCAGGAAGACCCGCGTTCAGTCTGGCCTCAGATACTAGCTTTGTGACCCTGGCTAAGTCACTTCACCTTTATTTGCCTTGGTTTCCTTAGTGGTAAAATGGGGATAATTATGGCACCTTCTTGTGGGGTTGTTGTGAGGATCAAATGAGATAATTTTTGTAAGTTGCTTAGCACAATGCCAGGCACATAATAGGCACTATATAAATCCTTATTCCCTTCCCATCCCCCTTAAGGAACTTGGATAACATTTTTCATTTTGTAGCTTTAGTTCTTAGCAACAAGCTTCACACACAGTAGATCCTTAATAAAAGTTTATTTATTGTTGTATAATTGTCTGCATAGATGTGTCTTATTTTCCTTTAAGAAGGTACGTGAGGGCAGGGGTAGCATATCTTTTTTTAATCTTCTCTGACATGATAGTGTGCACATAATACATACTTTTAAAGGGTTTGTTGAATTTGGATCTGTTCTCTGATCCTGTACCATATCTCAGCCTGAGCAAAACATCAAGCATTTTGGCGATGGGGTTGTGGTTCCCCATCTAAAGGAGGAGGGCAGACAGGATGGTGAACAGCCTTGATTGAAGCATTGTCACCCAAAGATAGACTGGAGGTGCTGGGAGTGTTTTCACACAGGTAACAGACTTGGGAGTGGGGTGGCAGTTGGCAAAATTCAGCTGCTTGAAGGGATGACATGTAGAAGAGAAAGTGGAGTTTTTACCCTTAGCCCAGAGGCTGGAAGTTGCAGATTTCAGTTTGGTATAAAGAAAAACTGCCCAACAGTTAGAAACATTTCAGAGTGGAATGAGGGCCTCCTTGGGGAACTAGAGGAACTGGGGAGATGTTTAGTAGGTGCTTCTGTGGGCTGGGCGCTCTGTCAAGCTCTGCAGGTATGAGCCAAGCCAACAAGACTTGCCTTGCCTTAAGGGAGCTTACCTTCTAGTGGGGGAGCACAATCCCTGAAGAGGAGGGTGTGGCACTAGCCCAGCGCAAGGCTGGCCAGGAGTCTCTGGATGGTTTGATTTGAACAGTTTTAGCTGCTTACGTTCAAACTTCACTTGGGGAGGGGTGAGGAGGATGGGCATGGAGGTTTGGAAATAGATTTCAACTTAGAAGGAATTGAGAGAAATATGGGAAGGACATGTATGAGCTGATGCCTCATCAGATCCTAGCTTTAGAGCTGGGAGGGGCCTGAGGTGATTGTGTAAGCAGATCCAGGAGAGTTAGGACACACCGTGAGTGCAGTAATGGCACTGAGAAAAATACGGAAAGGAAGTCAGACTGAATAATTGTAGGGACAAGAGAACACAGTGTTGTATGCACTGTCAGACTCAGTCATTCCATCAGCCGTTTTTGCTTAACTTTTTTCTTTATTATGGAGGCTTTCTTTCTGGGAACGAAGGGTCCCTAAAATGCAGTGAAAAAACAAAAGATGTATGCAGTTCTGTAAAAAGAGTAAAATTAGCCCACTTGTTTCCAGAATATTTTTCTTACCTAATAATCGGAGTCAGCAGTCAGCTGGTTAGCCTCACTAATCGATGTGTAACAGAGAAATTAATCATGAAATCATAGTTTACCAACTAATGAGGAGAATGTTGCTGGATGGGGGGAGAAGATTTTTGCCAATTTGTTCATTTTGTTTCCTGCAGGCAGCAGCAGGCATCTTGTGCTATGTGGGAGCCTATGTCTTCATCACTTACGATGACTATGATCATTTCTTTGAAGACGTGTACACACTCATCCCTGCTGTTGTGATTATAGCCGTAGGAACTCTCCTTTTCATTATTGGACTAATTGGATGCTGTGCCACCATCCGAGAAAGCCGCTGTGGACTTGCCACAGTAAGTTAGCATCTCACTGACGCCATGGCATCAGAGTGCACGTCCCTGCTTGATTTCTTGGGCTTTTCTTCTGCAACTCATGGAACTCCCTGGGTTTCTTAATGTGGATCCTCTGAAACTGTCTCCATATTTCACAATGAAACTAGATGACTTTTCTATTGAGTGAATTGGGTTTATGATTTTAAGTTTGTGTATTGACATTCCTATCAATTCTTTCCTTGCAGTTTGTGATCATCCTGCTGTTGGTTTTTATCACAGAGGTTGTCGTTGTGGTTTTGGGATACGTTTATAGAGCAAAGGTATGAATTTTAATTTTGTCATCTGTCTTCAGTGTGTGGTAGGCCCTAAATCTGAAGAACGTTTTATGAGTCGTTTATATTCAACTAGAACAGCATTCACTTCAAGTGATAGTAAAAATGTTTGCCTTTAAAAATCACGTACTGTTTAATTTCAGCTACTCTTTTAAAATTCCTCAACTGCAAGACTGATCAGAAATTACTCATCTAACAAGGTTTCTTTCAGCCCTATGATATGGGACAACACGTTATCAATTCTACTACATTTTTAGGATTTTGAAAGTTGCATCATGGTTTTAGAAGTTACAATGTAAATTGACTTGGGATGAGCCCCTGAAACTCCTTCCAAAAAGCCATTCATACCACTGGTGTTGGCCCACCAGAAGTGAGGGGAGAAGGGAAGTCAATGATGACTTGGAATTTTATGAGAAAGTTACTGTTGTTTCATAGAAATGAGGGTGTCCTTTGACTTTTAAATAATAACATAGATGTGGAAATAAATTATATGTAAACATGAAAAGGTAAAGCCAGTTTTTCTATATTTCTAAGTAATTTTAGTTAAAAAAAAAAACTTGTGCTAACATATTAGAATGCTAAGTGTTAAGCTGTCGGATTTGATTTTATTCTGCAATAGAGATGGGTACTACATTATAGGGGTGTGATTTCTGTTGGGACTCTGTCACTCCCTGCTGTAGAGACCACTTCTTTCTCCTTCCTCTCTTCTCCCCTCCCTCCCTGCCCTTTCTTTCCATCTTCCCTAATTTTATGCTGCGAGTACCACAGGTAACACTGAAGTCTAATGGCTTGGGTTTGCTGCTCCTGGCTAGAGAATATTAGTTCTAATATAAGTTTAGAAACAGTGATGAGAGTATCATCAGACCCCTGTGTTAATGCTTTCCATTATTGATTTAAATCTCTATCGTGAGATGTCATTTACTATTTAAATCCATTGATGTGGTAAAAAAGCCATTATTATGTGGTTAGGAAAAACTGCCCTGCAATAAATAAAAACAGAGGGAATCCTGACACCGGCATTATTTTACTGTTAGGACAGTGGATTTGTTCCCTACCCACTGATCTGTCACATCAATCTGAATGCAGCTGTTAACAGTTTTAAAGATTGCAGCTTATATTCAATGTTAATAACATGGAGACAGAAGGTAATTGGTCAGCGTGGAGTCTGGAAGAAAGAGAGCCAAAGAGTAAGCATTTGTGTTCTAGCATATTCCTCCTGGGGAGGAATGGGTTACTTGAAGTTATCAGGACTGACATAGCCTCCTCCCTGGATTTTGACCCTGTGACCAACAAACATCAATCTGGTATGGTGGGAGTGGCCCATTTTATGTAGGTTGGGCAGGTTTCCTTTGAGGGGGGTGGGGAGGAGCAGGGGGGCTGTTCTCCAGGTCATCATTGGCCTCTTGGGGACCAGTATCCAAGGCCTTAGCTGAATTCTCATTGCTCTGCAGAAGCACCTACTGTTTTATCTGAATTACTAGCTTTAACTTTAAAGGATTTTAGCTTTTTGTGTCCTTTCTTACGAGTAAAGACATTCTTTATTTCATTTTATGGTCTCTGGGTATTTCATTGCATTTTAACTGGAAGCCTAAGTCACTGGACTGGCCTAAATTTGACCTGACCCAGAATATCTGGTCTTCTAAGCAAACTTTCTGGGAAGACTTGATTGTGCTGGACAGTTATTCTTTTCTTTGTAAATTAGTAATTGTCATTCTAGTTTATCCGTCAGGTGGTTGTTAATTGGGTTAGCATAAAGTGGTTTCCCCAAAGCCCTAGAAGTAGACTGATGAAAGTCAAGTTTCCAGCCCTTGTGTTAAGGATTCTCCCCTCCCCAAAGGTGCAGATTCCCTGGAAAAGCCACTGGCCTTGTTCTCTCCAGTATACCTGCTGTAAGCTTTTTGAGGGCAGAGTTTGTTTTATTTTTTTCTTTGTATTCTCAGTATCTAGTACAGTGCCTAGCACATAGTAAGTGCTTGATTAATTCCTGTTTATTGATTGTTTGATTGACTATATTCACGGTAAAGGACTTTGGTGCAAGCAAGTTGTTACTTCTGCTGACTGTCCAAGTGACAAAAATGTCATCAAAAACCGAATCCTGTTTTCCCTGCTGCTGATTGTAAAACTGTGCACACCTTTGACATGAGGCATAATTTCAAGGGGTTGACTCCTACCTGCTTATCAACTGGGGAGTGGCTCATATTATAAGTTTGGCTGAGTTCCATATATATTTGAGAAATGAGGCCTTTGTCAGAAAAACTTGCTGCAAATTTTTTCCCCCAGTTTCCTGTTTTGCTTCTAATTTTGGCCATATTAGTTTTGTTTTTGCAAAAGCTTTTTTAATTTCATGGAATCAAAATTATGTTTTTTACTTTCCATAATCCCCTCCATCTCTTGTTTGCTCATAAAACTCTTCCCTTAGCTGTAGGTCTAACATACTCACCTAAATTATTTATTATATCACTCTTTATGTCTAAATCATTTTACTGTTTTGACCTTATCTTGGTATACAGTGTAAGATGTTGGTATATACCTGGTTTCTGCCAAACTGCTTTCCAGTTTTCCCAGCAGTTTTTGTCATATGTTGAGTTCTTGCTTCAAAAGCTTGGATCTTTGGGTTTATTATCAAAGACTAGATTCCTGTGGTCATTTACTACCGTGCCTTGTGTACCTAATCTGTTCCACTGATCTGCCATTCTTCTTAACCAGTACTAGATTGATATGACGATTACTGCTGTGTAATATAGTTGGAGATCTGGAACTGCTAAGCTGCCTTGCTTAACACTTTTTTTCATTGATTCCCTTGATATTCTTAACTTTGTTCTTCCAGATAATTTTTGTTGCTCTTCTTTCTAGCTCTATAAAATAATCCTTTGGTAGTTGGATTTGTGTGGTGAATAAAGGTATTTCAGCGACTCTCAGGCAGCTGAGCTGGTTAGGCATTTTAGCTGTAGCTTCTTACTGCCAAGTCTTTCTCAGCATCACTGAAGAATGAATTACTTGTGTTGTCTTTAGGTGGAAAGTGAAGTTGATCGCCGCATCCAGAAAGTGTACAAGACCTACAATGGGACCTCTCCGGATGCTGCCAGTCGGGCTATTGATTATGTACAAAGACAAGTAAGCCTAACACACTGGCATGGTTTTCTGTTTGCTGTAGTCCTTTATGTCTGCATTATATAGGGAGTGCACCTGCCTCCTCTAGTAACATTTTGTAGTCTTACCATACACCATTAGGGACTACTGACCAGTGGTATCCTGGAGTTTTTTCCTTCTGTACTTGGGATCCTTTTTTTTTTTCCCCCTATCCTACTACCCCCCCCCCACCCAGTGTATTCTGTTCTCTTTTAATTCTGTCCCTCCTCAGAAGTGTTTGCTTCTGATTACCCTCTCCCCCAATGTGCCCTCCCTTCTGTCATCTCCTCCCCTTATCCTCTTCCCCCCCCCATTTTCCTCTAGGGTAAGACAGATTTCCATACCCAATTGAATGTGTATGTTATTCCCTCCTTAAGCTAAATCCGGTAAGAATGACTCACTCATTCCCTCTCACCTTCCCCATTTCCCCTCCACTGTAAGAGCCTTTTCTTGTCTGTTTTATGAGATAATTTATCCCATTCTGCCTCTCCCTTTCTCCTTCTCCCAGTATAATCCTCTCTTAACCTTAATTTTATTTTTTAGCTATCCCCCTTCATCTTCAACTCACCCTGTGCCCTCTATATCTATATCTATGCGTACACATATATACGTATATATGTGTGTGTGTATGTATGTATGTATGTATAATTTTTTTCCCTCCAGCTGCCCTAATACTGACAAAGTATACCTGGAATTCTTAACCTGAGGTCTGTGAACTTGACTTTTTAAAACTATTTTGACAATGGTTTATTTTCATGTAATTAGTTTTCTTCATAATCCTGTCACAAGTCCATAGCACAAAAGGTAAGCCCATCTGCTCTGCACCCCTTGAGCAGCTTTTATCTAGCCACCTAATTAAAGCCAGTCCTTTTTCCTTGCTTTGAAGGCATCTGATTTCAGCCCCACAGCCCAGCCGTGCTGTCTGGGCTCACACACTTTTCCTTTAGTAGCTGGGGCCTCCCTTGGTAAGTTTACAAGGTGGGTTTATAAGTGGGAGACTTTTTGTGCTTTTAGGAAGGTGTCTCGAGCCCATGGACAAAACAGTTTTCACATTTCATCCTGAAGAAGTGAGCCAGCATATTTTATATTTAACATATAAAGATCTTATGGGTTATATTTGCTAAAAATCTAGCTATAGAGGAGAATTTTTGCTATAAACATTGAATGTTCTGGAACAGACGTTTTAACAGCTTTAGTTCATGACCATAAATGTGACCATGGTAAATTGCTTCCCTTCTGTTCTCCTCCGTTCCTCAAGGATTTTGTTGGTGGGGACACTTCCCACCGAGGCCAATCCCAGCCCTAATCCCACCACACCTCTTGAGATAGTCTGCAGAAGCCTTTCAGGGCACTAATCTCTGAGATATCAGCCGATATGATGTCTGTGAGCCAGCCCGTGCCCGGGGTCTTTCTAGCTAGCGCTGTGTTGGCATAGCCCTTCAGGTGCCAGGGTCACCACTGCTCTGAGGAGGCCCCTAGGAGAAGGGGCCTCATCTTCTGGGACTTGCATTCTCCATCTCATATAGATAAAGGAGTTTTGTCCCCTTTGCAGCACTCTGAATTCAGGCTTCCACCTTAGCTAGCCAGCCTGCCATGTCCCTTGTCTTGTGAGAGGTAAGATTTTCTTTTTCTTTCCTCTAGCTGCACTGTTGTGGAATTCACAATTACTCAGACTGGGAGAATACAGACTGGTTTAAAGAAGCAAAGAATCAGAGCGTCCCCCTTAGCTGCTGCAGAACATCGGCCAGCACCTGCAACGGGAGCCTGGCCCACCCTGCAGACCTCTACTCGGAGGTAAGTCTGGCACTCGTAGCCACATCGGGACGGTCTCAGCCACTTCTGTGGCTGCCTGGAGACCTGTTGTCAATGCCCTTTCTGTGCCGTAAAACACTCTCAAATGCATTCTTTCACTGCAGACGCTACGTTGGCTAAACTTCATTGAGTTCCACGTGCAGAGCAGTCAGTGAGACTGGACCGTCCCTGGAGTGGCTCTTTGTCTTCCTTGCCCTCGCTTTATTGGAGTGTTTTGTTTTCTTCCTCAGTGCTCTGTCTGCTGTTCCACTTTTAACAATGAATAGTTGGTTGTTTGCAGCTCTCTGTGCTTTTACTAAGGGAAGAATCTAATTCTGGTGGGTCTTTTTTTCCCAGGGTTGCGAAGCCTTAGTTGTGAAGAAGCTCCAGGATATCATGATGTATGTTATTTGGGCGGCATTGACGTTTGCTGCCATTCAGGTAAGACTCAACAGAAGGTCCATCAGACTGATGCTTCGTGATGTGATCCCTTTTCCCAGTCATCAGCTGCACTTTAGAGTTCTACATTCACTAAAGCCTTGTAGACTTGGATTGGTTAGAAGCCATTGAGGTCTAGTGAATGCTTTCCCACCTCTGTTTTCTGGTCTGCAGTCCAAAATCATGGACAATCCAGAGAAACTGAAGCTCTGAAAGTCAGAGAACAGACAGCTGAGGGTGTAGATGGAGGATTAACTGGAACCGGTCCAGAGCTTCTCTGTGCCTGCTTGTGTTAGGAGCTTTGATGAAAAGACAGAAAAAAAAAACCACTTCATATTGGACAAAGCAGTTTGTTTTCAAATTTGAGTGCTTTTATTAGAAATTAAGTGGTATCATTTTTCCTCCATCTTTGGACTCTTTCTACTTTCAGCCCCCATTTATCCAGCATTGTGTATCTGAATTCCTTAAAACTTACATACACGAAGCAGAAGTGATGTCATTACCACTGGTGACGTTCTTAGGAACAGCAGAGTAATCCATCTCCAGCTGAATATCATTATGGAAACAGAGCTGGTGATTAAAGCAGAATGTTTTTTTAACCATTGGATGAGATTGTAACGTCAGTAACGTAGGGAGCTACAGTGCATCAACACGTTGTCGGTGATGTCCCGTGGGGGTCCTGTCATCATCATCACCCTCACCCTCATCCTTCCGGTCACCCAGGTTCATAACCTCAGACTCCACTTTGACTCCTCACTCTTCCTCACTTGGCATGTCCCAAGGGTTGCCAGGTCTTGCCAGTGCTGCCTCCACACTGTGCCTCCCATCCGTTCCCATCTTTCTGCTCACTTGGCCACCACCCTCATTCAGGCCCTTATCACCTCTTCCCTGGGGTCTTGCAGTGGTCTCCTAATGAGTCTGTCCCAGTCTTTTCCCCTCTCCAATCTGCCTTCCACACAGCTGCCTAAGGAATATTTCCAAAGCCCAGGTGTGACCATGCCATTCCCCTGCTTTGTATACTCCCTTGGCTCCCCATTCTCATTGACAGCAAATGCACACTCCTTTTTTTTGGCACATAAAAAAAGCCCTTTATAGTCTAGCTCCATTCCCCACGTCCAGCCTTATGACCCAGGCCACCCCTGCACACACTCAGTGTTCGGACTGTACGGTCCCCCACGATGCTCCAGCTCCCTGCCTTTGCGTAGGCTTGTTTTGGACTCAGTCTCCTCACTTCCACTGTCTAAAATAGCTCCCTTCAGCGCTCAGCTAATGCCATTTTTTGTATGAGACTTTCCGATACATTTTGTTTCTGCTTCTGTCTGAATCTGTTGTTTCCCCTAGTAAAGAATGAAGTCCTTGAGGGCAGGGCCTTTTTTTGTCCCTGAAGCTCCCCAGTATTTAGCACAGTGCCTAGCATGTAGTGAGTACTTCATAACTGCTTGTTGATTAATTGGCATAGCTAGTAATTATTGTGTTGGTAGCAAAGCCAGACAAAAGGGTAAACTCTTTCCACCCACCCTGAAGTTAGATAATTCCCAGATTACGAATCAAGGGTTTGGGGTCTGGATTGATTTCCAGGGAATTACTAATTGTGTATAAATTAAAAATACTGGAGAAATCACAATAATATTGTTTTGGAAACTCAAGTTCACAGTCACAAAAGTTCACTCATAGACCTAATGCTGAGAAGGTATTTCTGCTCTGCTTCAGCTGTACTGCATAATCAGACCTGTTGTCTCTGGATTCCTTGGTGTCAGTTACTTGATAGGTAAACATGGTATGTAGCAAATAGAAGATCAACAGTGGAATCAGGATAGCCTGAGTGGACATCCCCCTTCTGGTACAGAATGGTCTCCCTGGGCAAGCCACTTCACCTCTGTTATTGTTTTAAGAAACAAGTTTAAAATTAGTATTAAACATCCCTTCAGAAAGGGAAGGGAAGAAACATCTAGTTGGTTAATAAGCTAATCTGTGAGGGTTGGACCTAGGTCATATGAAAAACTGAGGTCTCTACAAATGGTTTCATGATCACAAAAGCTCTGCTTGAAAAGATGTTCATATCTGTGCTAATGTATGTATTGCACGTAAAATTATCGAAACTGTTTCGATCCAGATCTTCCCTGGGAGACAAGATGTCCCTCAGGTCTCGTTTTTGTGGCCCAGTGAATTTTCGCCTGTATAACCCAATATGAAATATATCTCTCTGTGCTGATCACCATATCACTGTTTTATAGAGTCACAGAATCAATCCTTAGTAGTGCAGAAACAGTCACAAAAAGAGCTTGGCTTCCTAATGAGTCATTACTGAACTGTTTAAATACTCTAAGTACACAATCCGCCTTGTTGATATTTGAAAAAGGCGTTCCCCATTAAATGCATTAACTTGAACTAACATAGACAAACAAAATCTAGATAATTTGAGAAACTTAGGTTTGAACTAGCAATTAAACCGATCCTCTCTAGCATAATTTTAAAATACCCACGCACTCTCTTAAAATAAATCCTCCAGGCGTGAAATCTGTTTTAAGAGCAGCTATTAGAGCATTTCAGGAAATCTAGTAGGTCTGATCAAAGAAAAAGAAAATTTTTTTCATTATTTTTCCATGAGATAAGTCATTTATTATGAAGGAAACTGATCAAGCGGCCATAGTGACGTGTGATTCCAAAACTGGACTCATTGAGTCATTGATTGCTGAGCTTTAGTGAGGGGTGCCCACTACTGCAACAGGCCACGTGTTCCATTTTGGTATAGCTCTCATTCACACCAAGCCTAACTCTGCCTTTCCAGCTCCATATAATTCCTACTTCTCCCCACTTTGGGGCTGACCAAGACAAAGCTAATCTCTCCCTTCCACATTTGGAGAGAGCTCCTCTTCTCCCCCTAAGCCTTTTCTTCTCTAATCTAAACAGCCCAAGTTTTTTCAACTGATCTTGATAGGTTTTAGCTGGAGGCTCTTTAGTATCCTGGTGCCCTTCTCCTACATGACAGAGCACAGTGTCCAGATGTGGTCTGGTAGAGGGACTACTACTTCCCTTGTCCTGGTGCTATGGTTCTCTTAAATGTTAGTCAGCTTTTAGAAGCATGTATCTTCAGAGTTGGAAGGAGGTTTAGTTCAAGTCCTCATTTAATAGATGAGAAAACGCAGTCTGATGCTTAATAGAGCTATGATTCTTGCCATGTACATGTTGTATTTGGCTAGCCCTAATACAGATAGTGAAGACAATTAAAGGAAATAGCTAAATGATATTTTTAGTAATTACATTGTGGGTCTTATGTACCCAAAACTGTGGTTGGACACATTGGTGTTATCACTCTTTTATATTTAAAAAAAAAATTATGTTACTATTTTCCTTTTTGAAAAAGTATTCGGAAGTGGAGGTGGTGGCGAGTTCAGTCTTGATTAGTTTTGATGAAATTGTTAGTTGGCCATTGAATTTGATAGTCATAACTTTTTTTAGGTAAAATTCCATGGCAGGAGTTAACCATTATCACTGAAATCTTCATGTAATAAATAATATTTCTAAGTTTTTCACTTGAAATTTTATATAATATTCAGTACTACAAAATTCCAGTACAGCCAAAACATTTGTAAAATCCTTTGGAATCCATGAATTGAGATTCCAAGAATTCACTAATTAATACTCAGATGTATTACTAATTTAGCATGTTGCCTGAAATTACCAGTATTAGTTTTTCTTTTGGGTTAAAGCTTTGTCCCCAGTTATTTACATTAAAATTATACTGTGTTCCTGTGGAGGAGAGTGATGGGAGATGTAAACAGTTCTTAATAACCATGATCACATTCCATTTGGGCAAGACTGTTGGAAATGGGATTCAGGAGTGGTAAACTTTTTAAATGTAAGGAGTCCTAGAGACTGTTGGGTCCTGTTCAGCTAAGTTGCTTGGCACCTGAGAAGAAGAGGGTACGGGGCCAAGAGGCAGCTTGATGTCATAGGAAGGACAGTGGTTTTGGAATCAAGGATTCCAGATTTAAATGATACCTCTTCTGCTTCCTCCACATCTGTGACCTTTGGCACATCACTTAACCTCTTCTGGAAAATGAAGGAGGTAGAAGAGATGACCAGGGAGGTCCCTTCAATACTGTAAAATTTCAACTCTAAATGCTGTTTATCCTATCTGATGGGATACCTATATCTACATCATGATTTTCCCTAGAGTTGTCCATGCCTGGTTTTAACACATTGTCTAAAGAAGAAATCTCAAATATGCAGCCTACAACCTGCCTGAGTGTGGCCTGAACCAGATTAAAATAAAATTGAGAAATATTTAGCAAAATAAATAAAAATACAATAAAACTTAGATAACATTACATTTTAAAGCTAAGTTACACAATCTGCTGGGGTCCTTACATATAGTTTAGTGGACTCCTTTTTTGTTTGAGTTTGACATGACTGGTGTAAAGGAATAATCAGGCAAATTTTTAAAATATTTTAGTCTTGAGTTAGAATTACATCACATACATATGTGCATGGTAGCTGTCCTGTGAAAGGGCACTAAATGTCCCCTGAAAGTTCTAGATTGGAAAGACTTCAGCTGTCTTTCACTTGCACAGGTCTGGTGTACTTTTATATACAGTATTTGGAAAACTCTGTTGGCATCTGAGTGAACTCGGGGGATCTTTGAAATATTTTGAATTTAAATGAAATTGGTAACTATGGCCTCAAGTGGAGTCTGTTAAAACAACAGGATTCTTAACTGAACTTTTATACAACTGGGGAACATCTGGAGTTTGAAGAGAAGACCATAGTAGTGACTGGTCCCGTCTTTGTGGTTCAGGGTTCCTGGAGACTCAGTGCAGTGGGATCCCCAAGGCTGGCAACGTGAATTGCTCCCATTGCCAGGCTTTGATGGGAGTCCTGGGGACTCGGAGAAGAAAAGGAGAACCTTTGCGGTAGCCTGTAGCATGTGGCATCCCTTCTTTTCCCGCTCCCATTCTGAGCAGAAACAGAGTTTAACAGAACCTTCTCGCTCTCCTTAAGCCAATGTGTGCTGCCGACGCCTTTACCCAGTGTTGCTCCTTCTCTCCCCTCAGCTGCTGGGCATGCTCTGTGCTTGCATCGTGCTGTGCCGGAGGAGCAGAGATCCTGCCTACGAGCTGCTTATCACCGGCGGAACCTACACCTAGAAGGCAGCGGCCCCTGAGCTCCTCAGTCTTGTTTCCCTTACCTGGAAGGTGGGTTAGGCAAGTCTCGGCAGTCACTCTGGGCTGGAGACTTCGCTGCAGCACACCTTGCACAAAGGAGAAACACCTCTCGTGGACACTGGTGACGGGCACAGAAACCGGGCTTTCCACAGACCTGCCAGCCCTCGATGACCTTTCCCCCATGCAGCCATTTTTTAAAAAATTAGGCTAAGAAGCATTCTGATTTCAGAATCCTTGGCCAGGTTGGAACAGTATGATGGTCTTTAAAGGGGCATCCCCTCTGATTCTGAAAGCTTGACTGGGTGCGCCTGCTGGAGGCTGAGGCTACATGAAGGGCCCCGAGTGCTGCCTTTCACCAGTGTCCATTTTTAAAACGTGTATATTGTAGTCCAGTATGATTGGAATTGTACAAAATGACTCAAAACTGTAGAATCCTATGGCGTCTCTCTTAGATCCTCTCCATTTGAAGGCATCTTCCAAACTTTAGTGTTTTTTAAATAAAAGCTGGCTTTTCAGGAGTATAATGTATGCACTACTGTTCTATAATGATATGTGTGTGGTTTTTTTATGAGTAGGATTTAAATTTGGAAATAATGTACCCATGTAGACTAGTGAGATAGTATGTAAAAGTGATCTCAGTTGTACATAGTAAATCAGACTAAATAAAGGCTGTATATCCTCCCTCCAGAATATAGGATTTGTCTTCATTCAGGGGCTTGGGGAGGTGGTGTTGTCTTTATTTCAGAGTTTCTGTAGGACAAGTGATTGGAGGCCCCAGTGCTTCTTCGGTTGCGCATGGCTGATGTCTCTGATCAGGATCTAAAACTCTCCTGGCATCCAAAGAACCACAAATGTCTTTCCCTTGCTCTGTACTTTGACTTTGTCTTATTAACAGTGACTGGGGCAGCTAGGTGGTACAGTGGATAGAGCACCGGCCCTGGTTTCAGAAGAGCCTGAGTTCAAATCCGGCCTCAGACACATGACACTTACTGGCTGTGTGACCCTGGGCAAGTCATTTAACCCCATTGCCTCGCAAAAAAAAAAAAAAAAACAGTGACGATCCCTCACAGTTGTAGAGGCTCAAGGGTTTGCAGAGGGCTTTCTCCAAAACTCGCTGAAAATCTTAGCAGATTTTCCAGGGTCTGGTATATTCCCAGACATGGTTCACCGTTGTGCTGTCTCCTGACTCTGAGCCTTTGCACAGCTGCCAATGCCTGACCCACCTCAGGTCACCTTCTCTATGTCTCGTGTGTGCCTACTTCTGGACGTGTTGTCTCCCCTGTTAGAATAGATGTTTCTTGGGGGCAGGCCCATTTTGTTTCGGTCTGGTCCCATGCTCACATGGACCTTGCACATGGTAGACACTTAATGAATGTTTTGGATTCAGTTCATTTACAAGTGAGGAGACAGGCTGATGATCACACTGCTAGTATCAGAGCTGACCCTCAGATTTGGGTCCAGACTCTTGAGCCCAGCACTTTTTCTTCCTCCAGAGACGGTAATGTTGGGTCTGATTGAATTCAAGTGACATCAAGTGACAAGTGTCATGGAAGGAAAGTGTCCTGAACCAGGAGTCCAAAGACCTGGCTTTGGGTCCTGGCCCTGCCACTTACCAACCATGTCCTGTAACTGCCTGGGCCTCAGTTTCCTCCTCTGTAAAAATGAGGGGGTTGGATTTGTTGGCCCCTGTGGTCTCTTCCAACTCCAGAAGGAGGTTCCTGTGATGCTGGATGGGATGATGGAGTCTATTCACCTTCATTCCTCCCCCCTCACAATCCCAGATCTTTATGAAGTTTTGTAGGCCCTTCCTGTGTCTAAGGCGGGGACTCAGGTGCAGCCTGGGCCTGTGGAGACAGGAGGCCCCCAGAAGAGACTGGTGCTAGGGATGGCAGCTGGAGGCTGGAGAGGCACGTTATTTGTCCTCTGGCCAGAGGCCCGGTGCCTTCTTGGTGTATCATCTCTTCTAGGTTAAGGGCTAGAAGATTTTGCCTCTGACCTACCCCTCTTTCATTCTAGGATATATGCTGTGAAAGCTTTAAACATTCTGTTTTTCTTGGCCGCCCTCAGGATTATTTGCACCAGCTCCCAGAGATCAAATCCGTCAGGAGGGGCTGGGGACTCCTGAAGGCAGGTCTGATCTCACATGGAGTTGGCAGGAAACCTTCCTAGTTTCTTTATGGAGGCACCATGTCCTATGGGCATTGGCCCACTTTGGAATGTCCTCTGATTCCTTTCTCTCTCCTTTTCTAACATGCTTCTGGTTCCTTCCAGGCTCTTGGGAACCTTCCAGTGCTTAGAAAGAGCCCTCTCCAGGCATGGTGGTTTCTGTCACTATGAGTGTTGAGGTGGGCCAGCAGCCAGTGGAGATGTTCACCAGCCCATCTCTCTAGGGCCTCCCTTCCTCCCCAGCCCAGCTGGCTCCAAAAGCTGTCTTGTTTTTATACCTCCATCACTCACTCCCCCACCTCCATAGGCCTTTCCTTGCCCCAGATCCTTTTCTCAAAGAATACTGAATCCTTTCCACAATGAAAAGATGTGGCTGTTACTGTTCTGGCCAAAAGAGGGATTTTTTTCGGCAGCATCAGCTTATAAATTCATCCCCAGATAGTGGCTGTTTGACACCCGTTGTGACCTGTGAGCCTTATCGTGGCTGACAAGGGAGGCCAGGGGCACACAGCCTCTGGGGCTGGAAAGGCTCCTGGCATGGCCTGGCCACCAGCACCCCCGGCTCATACAGGTCGTTGAGGAAGGGAGGGAACAGTTACAGCACACGGCAGAGGAGCTAAGAAATGCTGCCTTTTTAGAAGTTGTGACCCCACGTGCCAAGCCCAGAGCTCCCACAGATGCTGAAGGAGCGTAGGCAGCATGCCCCTCCTCTCCAGCACTTCTTAATTTAATTTTGAAAGGAATCCACCAGCGGGTCATGCTGAATGCCCACTCTAGCAGGCTAGACTCAAGCCCATTTCCTGGGGCCCCTTCTAACATGAGTGTTTTCTCCTCCCTGCCTGGGGCCTGCCTTCCTCTGGACTTCAGAACTGGGGCCCCTCTGTTGCTGATTCAGCTGGAGCTTCCCTTTGGTGGAGGGGCTGAGGCTGGCCTGCCTCCATCCTCATCCTGGCCCTGTTCCTCACAAAACTCTTTACCTCAGGGTGCACCTTCCTCCTCATTCCCCCCCCCCCCGCCTTTTCTGTGTTGTCTTCTCCTGTTAGAATGTAAGCTCCTCCAGGGCAGGGGCTGTCTTTTTGCTTATATCCTCCATGTCCTTAATAATCACTCATTTCCTTCTGTTAAAAAAAGCCTCGTATGCAGCTGGGCGTTTGGGGAGCAGGTAAGGAAGGATGATTGTTTCCATCTCTGGAACACTTAGAGGTTCACAAAGCTTTTTGCTTCCCACATTTCGACTAGAAAAGAGCAGCAGGACAACGAAGGACCTGAGGACCCCAGAGGTTTCACGTGTTTCTGGCAGATCAGCCCCTGGCCATGACTTTTGGAAGTGATATCAAATGATTTCCTGATTACGTCCTAACCTGGCTTTCAGTTCCCCTGTTCTGTTCCTTTTGGGTATGTGCAGCTGGGAATATTTAACCTCAAGAAGAGATGAATTGGGGGGTAGGAGAAGGTAGGGACTGTGATTGCTGTCTTTAAGGGACGGCTTGTCATGGGCAAGGGGGTTAGGCCCGTTCTGTGCGGTCCCAGAGAATAGAGCTGAGGGCAAGGGTTAAAGGTTATGAGGGAGCTCCGGTCTATTTAATGTGGGAATGGCGGGGACGTAGAACTCTTCAAAATGGGATGTGTTGCGTTGGAGGTGGTGAATTCCCCATTCTTAGAGGGCTTCCAGAGGAGGCTTCATGACTGCTTTCAGGGACGATTCGGAAGTGATCTGTGTAGGAGGATGACCGCTGAGGGACCTCCCCGATCTTCCTGGGAGCTGGCTGATTCCTGCTGCCTCCTCATGACTGTATTCTCAAAGGCCAGCGGATACCATGGTGATATCCTGGGCAGAGGGAAGGCTGTGAGTCTGAGCTCGCACAAAATGTGCACGTGAGACTCATCTGCATGGCGGTCGGTAGCTAAAGGTAAAGCGTGTTACTTCTGCTTGACAGAAATGATTGCAATGGATTTGTCTGTATTTATGATTTGCTAAACCCTATCTTTGGTTGTGCCTCATCATGGTGTAGAGTTGGCCTTTACTTCCAAGAAAGATTTCCTGAGTGGACTACTGGCATATCTGGGGTCTGAGTCGGACCAGCTTGTCTCTGACGTCCTTTTGACTCCAAGCATCCTGGGATGTAACCAGCCCTTGTCAAAGTCTTAGTGGAAACGCTGCTGTAGAGCCAGGCCACCATTTTATGGTTCATAATAGTAGCATTCATTCCCGTGTTCCTATGGGATTAGAAAGCATTACCTCACGTGCCTGTGAGGTAGGTAGTCTAAGTATCATTACCTCCTTTTTACAGATGATAGAATTGAGGCTCCATGACAGTCACTGATGGTTGCCCATGGTCACCTGGCTCGTGTCAGAGTCAGATCACAGATCTGTGGAGTGGTGGAGTGTTCGGTGGAACCATTATCTTTGGCTTTTCTCAGCCGGTCAACAGCAGATAATTACTAAGCGCCTGCCACGTACTCTGTGATGGGCACTGGGATTGAAAGACCAAAGTCAGGTGATCTCTACCCTTGAGGCTCTTACAGTGTTGCCAGAGGAGACGACAGTCTTGCATTGGGTCTTGGATCTTGAGGCTACTCTATATTCCCAGTTACTTGCATGCCCCTTCTGCTTTGATCCGGACTTCCCCATCACCGTCTCTGAGCTAGGAAGACCATCAGGCATTTGCTAAAAGGATTTTCTGCAGTGCAGCAATCCCCTACCTCATACACAATTGAGAATCCTGAAGAAGCCAGGGACGGCCATCTAATTGTTAGTCTGGGCCTTTTGCTCAGTGCAAAGCATGGCCAGGTTGGAGAGAGCCTTGGTTTAGGGCCAGACGGCTTGGAATTCCTTCTCTTCCAATCCTTTCGTATGACCTTTTGGCAAGTTGTGTAAACTCACAGGAACCCAGTATAAAAAGGTGGGGAGTGGGGGTATGTGGGAAAGAGAACGATGGATCCCATTGGCAGGAGTTACTGCATCCAGGGCAAATGGGAGAAGGAAGGAAGGGGTTCACCCACATGGAGCCCCCAGGGGCAAGAAGTCCGCCTCATGCTGTTGGAGGGCTGGATGCCCCACTGGAGGCCATGGACAATGCCTGTCCAGGGTGTGGTGTCTTGAGACCACGTTGCCCTTGCCAGGGAGAGCTGGAGCTCACCTGGGGCGTAGCCAGAATAGGTATTACGCTCTAGACACCTTCTAAATTTTGACCATGTTGGGCAATGCCCTAGTAATGACTCAGGGATTTAGAGAGCCCCGCATTCAAATCCTGAACCCTCTAGTTAACTCCCAAATCAACTTTGGGCAAGGCCTTTCACTGTTCTGGGCCTCAGTTTCCCTCCTGGAAAATAAGAGGACTGGACTCAATAATCTGTAACATCTGTTCCATCTATGAAACTATGGGCTTAGAGTGCTGTTCTCAGTTCAGGTGAGTGACCTCATCCTAGATTCTCTTATCAAACACCTTTGCCCCGTTACCAGTTGGGGCTTATTTGAACAGTAGTGCCTCCCAGAGAGTATGATAAATACATTGACCAAGGGA